TTAACAAGTAACTGATTTTTAAGCCGTTTGAAGTTGGTTCAATTAATTAAAGAAATTTAAGAAAATATGAAATGTTTGAATAATGGTTTGCAAAGTATATATAATAGCCATTTGAATTTGTTATAATTAAATAACCTAATAAGAAATTAATTTTGCAAATCATTATTGACAAATATGAGAATTTTTTTTTTTCTTTCTGGAAATTACTAACCAAATATCCTGACTTTTATCCCATCAATGTTTATAAGACCTTTTATTACATTATTCCCCTTTTTCCTCGTAGGTTGAAGAATGAACCCTTGACTCCTCAGGATGTGTTGAGAGAAATGTTTAAATATGAGCAGTATAATGAGAAGGATAAGAAGAAACTTATGAAATGGTACAACAAAACAGTACCAATGGTGAAATACAAGAGCAAGGTCTTAGCCAACGAGCGTATTGCTGCTGGATTAGATCCACCAAAGAAAAAGAAGAAATGAGTTTATTTTGCAATGTGTTCCAGCCAGAATATTATATATTTTTATCAATTCTATTATTGTTTTATTTCACTTACTGCATTGCATAGCTTTAGGATAGGCTAGTATTTTATTTGTAGTAATTATTTTTAAAAGTTTAGTATTAGTATACAAATAATTCATATATTACTGGTATATGAATTAATTAGGATAATTTAGAAATTAATTTGCTTTTTTTTACTTATTTAAGATTTTATTAATTAATTACATACTGCAAGTGAAAATTTCCTAGCAAAAGTCTAAGAATGACAATAATGTTTACAAATAAATTAAAAACTAACAGTATGAATACACATTTTAAATTAATAACTAATACACCAATATTTTTAACAATTTAAAATTATAAAATTTAATAAATAAAGATAACATTTAAATATGTAACTAGATCATTACTTGGTGTTGCCAGGGATTTATTACACATGAGCTGGAAGATGATGATGATGATGATGATGATTTCAGAGCTATACCGGAAAGTACATACAAACATACACACTAACAGTTATCTGTCAGACAACTTCTGCTTCACACCTAGATGTGAGGAATTATTCACACATCATTTAGAGAAGTGTGAGTTTTAATAATGTTAAACGTGTAGAGTCCATTTAATTGAAAATTAATGAAAACAATATTAGAACATTTATATCATTAACATTCTCTTATAAGAAAACAAGACTAATGTTCATTCACTAAAAATAAGCACTCTTATGATAAGCAATGGAAACATTCAACCAAAAGAGTATTCAAAACTTGTGGAGACTTTTGGAAAATGCTCCGTAAGAGAGTGTCTTTTTAAAGAGAATGTGTGAACTATTAACAATATGAATCTCTAGAGCAAAAGTGGATGAGGGTTATTGATGATGATGTCTGAGAAATGTGTGAATGCTAAACTGCTCAAGACCTGAAAAATTTATGGACAGATTAATTACAGGATTTTCTTTTAAGTGGAGCTTGACAGATGAACTTTTCATTCATGGCAAAATTGATGCCAAATTGTGGTCACATTTGCAAAACCTAGACTCATATCTATCTATATTTTATTTCAGTCAGCTGTTAAAAACTGATATCATTTATTTGCGGTATTTTTTAAACGTAAATGAAAAATTAAAATGCACAATATTCGCAAGTGCCAAAAGACAGCAACATTTTCCACAACATTAAGAGGGATTTTTAATTTTAAGAAGAGCTTTAGTCACGATCCTTTCCTCTAGTTATGTGCTTATTGGGATGTCAATTAGGCTTATTAATTATAAATGACAGTACTGATTTTTGGAAGTTGTTTCTCTGATAATGATTTTTGAAAACATTTATATAATTTTCATTATACTTTTTGTATTACCTTTACCCTCCTGCTTTCTTGAATGTATATTGTAATTCAGTGAATATTCTTTGAAAGACTGCTCCTAATAAGTGACTACCTCTCTCAATGACTGATTTTCTTGGAATGGGCTCTAAAACTCATGCATTGTGCACAAATGTACGAGTTTCAGTGTTCATGGACCACCCCTCTCCCTGGCCACTAACCAGACCCTTAATAGCAGATTTCCTAATTTACCTTTGATGATCCCACTTTCAAGAAAATTGTAAGTATACATAAGCATTATTGTAATCATCATCATCATCATCATCATCATCATCATCATCATCATCATCATCATCATCATCATAATCATCATCATGAACTGCAGACATTTAGGTATGGCCCTGTTTCTGTTTGTATCTGTTCCAGTAGACCTAATAGATTAATCTTCCAAGTGTTCATGACTTTCCATCTCTTTAAAGGTCTTCCAATGTCTCTGTTTCTGATCGGTTTATATATACCGATGAGTTTTAGTAATCTGTTACACTCCATCCGACAAATAGGTTCTTTCCATCTCTTTTCTGATTCTTCAACTCTTCTATTAGATTTTTGGTTTTTAATTTTCTTCAGATATCCTTGTTTCTCAATCTGTCTCTTCTCCTGATTCCTAAGAGGTGCCTTAGTGTCATTTGTGCTCCTGTATTTTCTGCTTGTTTTTCTTCATTATCCATATTTCTGAACCACATAGAAGCATTGGTCTAGCTGTATGTTACAAAGTTTCAATTTTGTGGTAGAATCTATATCCTTCTCAAAGTGTCTTTAAATGGTTCCATACATTCTGTTGTAATTATGTAGTTTTCTCTCAATGTCTCCTTGAGTAGAATTAGTACATTGATTCTGTTTCCTAGGTAAGTGAATTCTCTTCCTTGTAAGAATACAGTACACCGAATTTTCAGTAGTTGAAATGAAAATTGGCAATGTAGGAAAAAACATTTGCATGACACATCCTGCATCTCAGTTTATGTCGCTGAGAGCCACGAGCTCAAGGATAACAGTGATTAAGGGATCAAGTAACAATAAACCCTAACCATTGATATGTATCACAGTGGCTCACTTCATTTCAGTTTCTTTTAATGAAACAGCAGATACGAAGGAGACCTAATGTTTAATTCTTTGAATTAACAGACCCTTCCATACCTTACCTTCGAAGACAAACATCTGGTGTAATAGATTATAAGCATTGGAAGTCATGATTATTGCCTTGCCCCATAATATGGGAGTGTTTGTGTTGCACGCAAAGTCTAAGCCCAGCAGTCATTCAAGACCAATCACTTTAAGTTTTTTAATTGTTTTTATTTGTGCAAAGAAGAGTGATTGAAAGCGAGTTTTTATGCTTCTAAGACATAAAATGTGTCACGCATACCCAAAAGACATATTGGGTACCGGAAATAAAGGTTTGTCATGTATAGACGATGATTGAAGTTAAAAGTTAAAAATGATTTAAGTGTTAATTTTTTAGCCAAGTGAAGACACTATAACTATTTTTTATAATTTCATTTAAAAAGATAGTGAATAATTTGAAAACCTATTTACATCAAAAAGACAAAATAAAACTTTCATAATTCATGCCCATATACTAAACACCTTTCAGAATCATCCTTTGAAAGAGGCAATTTACTAATCATCCAATATCTATTAATGATAGACAAATTTTTGTTTAATATGTATTTCTCCTATTAAATGACAAACCCTCTCAAAAACAACTTTTTTCACCTTACCAACTGTGGCTGCATAATACAGGTTTCACTGTAGTTATTTATGATACAAGCGGTAAAAATGACATTTAATTTTGCAAGTAGGAAAAGTTAGGACATGAGGCTCATAGGCCAAGTGAGACAATCCTACAAGCAAAGTAAAATCATTTTTACCATGTGTCGTACTCATACACTAATTTTTAGACAGTCTTACTGATTTTCATTTTATTTTAATTCAAGTATTCAAATCATATAATTGTAAAATATGTTTCGTTGAAGTCAGTAGTATCTGATGCAATCAGAAAAAATATATTTTATTGTCTTTGTTGCAGTGACACTATTTTATCTGAACATTTGAGCAATATTTTAGTTTTAGTGCTTCTGCCAGAAATTGAACTTTTAGCATGCTTTGTATGCCTTAATTACAATCATCTTCAATAGTGGTTGTCCGAAAAGAAAGTCACAAAATACCTTCTCTTATGGCAAAAAGACATTTGAGACATTATGGCATTATGACATTTGAGATTATGGCAAAAAGACATTTGAGACATTTGTGCAGTCCCTGATCAAAAAAGTCTTTCTCCCTGAATATCGGACTCTCTGTTCATATGTAAACAACACAAGCTTCTAAATGATTCATAGGCCTTGTTTGAAACAGGGTTTTGGGATATTGATCTGTTTCAGTTTGTGCCTATAAATTTGAAAGGTCTCTTCCAATTCTGGGGGGTAATGGCTGTCCTGATTACTGAAATATAAGAAAAAATGGCAGTCCTGAAATGTAAGAAAAATATTTTCAAAAATTGAAAATGCCATTCTCATTATATTTTAAAAAACACAATAAATAATGTATGTGTGTATATATAATTGATTTACCCCCTTCTTTCTTTCTATTTATTCATTAATAAGCTGAGAAGCTGCAGAGATTTTTTAAAGTGGTAGGGAATGCTATTATACAACATTCTGACACGAATAAATTTATTTTTGGCTTTATTCGCAATAAAAATGATGCCATGACTTATAGAATATTGTTGGAAGTTGCCATTGAGTTTTGTGTTTAAAATAGTTGGCTGATGCTTGCATAAAACATTATTAAAATAATTTAATGTTGTACATGTATCAATATATATTCATACGCTACAAATACTTCGACGAAGTTCTGTTCTCACAATGTATGGAATTTTTAAAAACATGAAATAAATTTTGAAGTAGTAAGTTTCCGTGATGTAATGGTGGGTTATTTGATATATGTTATGTATATTATTGGGAAGTGGTCTGAAAATAATAATTTTATTATAATTTCATGTATTTTAACTTATCGTTCTTGCATTCAATTCATTCGAAATGTGCTGTACAAGCACTTCGTCGATATCGTCATAGTCGACACAATTGTGTGAATCGAAAGAAAGAACGATTCGTCTATTCGATTCTCTCAGAAGAGTCGAATCGCCCGCTTCGGGATCTCCAGCTCTGCGCGTGTGCCACTCGCCAGTTGTGGTGAGTGGAGGTAACGGGATCTGTGTGGAGCGGGTTGGCAGTCAGAGCCAGGTTAGCGTTAAGAAACTACGGTATGGATGCGTTATGTGGAGTGTGCACATCAAATGTGGCCTTAGTGTGAAGGATTTCAGAGAGAAGTGATGAAGAAGAAGGTAAGAAATGCATGTCTTATTGTTATGTTAAATGATGTCTGTCAAAATATGGCAATTTGGCAAAATGTTCTGTGTAAACCAACGCCAGTAGAATCCAATTGTTTAGGGATGTCTGAAGTGATGATATATTGGTTAGGGAATGCATTTTAGTTGAATTATTTCCTTGACTTACTATTTTTTGTGTTGCTACAGATGTACAAAGATGCCTACTGTAGGGAGTGGAGAGTTAGAAAAATCGCCGCAGGAGGAAAATCAGCAATGCTCCACCTATCTGTTTCCGTCAACTCAAGCATCTGTGGCTGCCTCCTCTGGAGAGCTGAGTGGGGCAACAAAAGTGCCCCCTGTGCCTGCTTCGACGGTGGCCTCGATTCCTGCATCAATCATGAAAGGGCATACCCGCAGTGCCAGTCACGGGGGCGTAGGGACGTCAGTGTCATCATCCAACGTCGTAGGGCGCCCCTCCGCCCTCAAACAGAACAGGGGTCATCAGAGAGCCTTCTCACAAGGACAGATCGAAGATGGTGCGGGTGCAACAAGTTTCCAGCGGGGACACTCTCGTGTGGGATCCAAGACTGATTTTATCCTCCCTCCAGGTCACAGGGATTCTGAGAACAATGTTGGGGCTCCCCCTAGTGCAACTAAAGTGCATGGTCACTCAAGACAGGCATCAAGATCAGAATCCATATACACTCTTCGACAGAGTGGAACTCCTTCGTTGTGGCATCAGTTTCAAACTTATGTGCTTAGGAGAAAAGGAAAAACTGAAGTTGAGGAACCACGTTATCGCACTGTAGTACCAAATCATCTTGTACCTCCACGTACCCCCCAGAAGGCCCATCCGAATGGCAAAAGGCCTGATAATCGAATTAGGACTACAAAATATACATTACTTTCATTCCTACCAAAAAATCTTCTTGAACAATTTCATCGTGTGGCTAATTTGTATTTTATTTTTATTGTGTTGCTCAATTGGTTCCCTGCCATTAATGCATTTGGAAAAGAAATAGCTATGATTCCAGTGTTATTTGTTTTGGGTGTGACTGCTATCAAGGATTTGTTCGAAGACAGAAGAAGACATGCTAGTGATAAACGCATCAACAATTCAACATGTCGAGTTTACAGTGGGTAAGTTGATTTTTTCCTTAATGTCAGTAACAGCTTTTAAGCGTAAGTTTTTCTTAAAACGAATGTTCAAATTTGTAGGTGTAAGGAAGTAAACAAGAAGATTCAAATAAATGTTGGTGAATATTCTGCTCGTGAAAATTGTTCTAGTTCTGTTTTATGCTTGAAATATTGCTCCTTAATTTCCAGAAACTATGTTGTACATCAAAGTCATGGCAGAAAACAAAATCATTACAGAGACATTATTGACGAAATTTGTCCACTTAACTTGAAATCATCTATAGGAAAGAAATTTTATAGATATTCTGATGTGTTCATACAGATATTCTAGATTCTTGTTTATGTACATGCAGTAATTGAAACAATATGGGTACATGGGTAATTGGTTAATCATACATTTGAATGTAAAAGATCGTCTCATTCTTATGAATTAAATCATGTCATAATTTGATTTTGTTAAATTAGTGCTAGCCTTCTATTTGGTTTCTTCAATGAATTTGATAAGTGGAAGGTTGTTACTATAAATTTGTAGTATATTATTACATCACACATTTTTGTTGTTTATTGAAATTATTAATCAAATTTATTATTTTTCAAATTCAAAGTGGACTACAGCCTCTTGTTTGTCCTTAGTGATGTGTTCTTTTGAAATTGTTAGCTTTTGATTAGATAAAATAACACTTGCCTATAGTTCAAATTATGATGTGTGGAAATATATTGAAGGCCCTTGCTTTTTAGCAAAGTTACCAATTTTCAGATCAATCAATTATATATAACATACAAGTTTGTGTATCTTAGCAACCAGAAGTCTCAGGAAGAGGGAACTGGTGTCCAAAAAACAGTTGCTTTCTCACATTCAACGTCAGTGAGTGTTAAATATGTGTAGATAATATGCGAGAGGAAAATAATAGCGATTGTATTGATTGTAAATGAGCGATCTGCATGGAATTAAATTGTTTTACAGAACAGATGCCCCACAAACATCGAGAGGCCGATAGTCTTATCCTAAGAAACTTGCTTCTGGAAATTGAGTTGTGCAATATAATTCTCAGAACTGACGCCATAAGTTACTGTGTGAACGATTCTTCCTTTATTAATTATTGTTTACTTACAACATGACCAACGACTAATGGAAATATTTCGCTTTCCATCAGGGATCTTTATTAAACTATTAAGATCTCAACTCATCAGAACTATTCCTACACCATAGCGTATTGTCGCCGACCCTAAACTGATCTGTATAAATGTAATTTTTGACAGATGCGGATTTTCCTTACAGGTGAATAACTGTGCGCTTTTTGCGTCGTGTTAATTGTTGAATTTTTGTTTTCGATATTTCTGATCCAATTTTATAATATTTAATATATTAGTAGTATTGGAAGTATTGCATTTCTTCGTGTACAGATTGTCAGGTGTTATGGTGCCAATAACGGTCTTTGATACCTTTATTCATAATTTTTGTATTATAGAAAATGAAAGGGAAGGAATTCTGGAGCTCAAGAACACGTGCGCTTCAGTCCTCTCCCAATACTCCACATAAAGATATTACTTTTGTATCGTAAATAAACTTGAGTTCCGCATTTCCAATGTTTATTTCGAATGGACATGTAGAAGCAAGTTCTTGCATCGCACTTTTTTTAAAGAATAAGGTGTGCGTCACGTTTGGTACTTTCCTCATGTTTCAAATGCATTTTTGAAATTCCCGTTATCTCTGCTTTTACGTTTTCGGAAGACTTGCGATAAGTAACTCTTGTCTCGTGCCTTCAACGAGTAAAACTAGTTGATGTGCGAGAGCGATATATTTATTTTGGTTTTCTAAGTAATTTTTGATACGTCTACATTCGCTTGAAACCGTTTCACAAGATTCGAGTGTCAGTTTCAGGCATATTTACGGTATATTAATATCTGTGATGTAATTTCTTGCGTCCCCGTGATTGTATTGTAATGTTTGAGCGTCTGGGGCAAGATATAAACCTCTTTCTTTCTTTCTTTCTTTCTTTACATTATTACTTATAGTTTTCGGATAAATAAGAAAAAAACATTTGCCCTTTGAAAGGTGGTAAAAGGTTGGGGACCCGTGCTCTAAAGTCGTATGAGTGTCTCGGCAGATTTTTATTGAAGTAGATAGGCAGTCTTTCCCATTTTAATATCGCGTATTTAATTAAAACACTCGTGTATAACATATTTAAAGTTAAAAACAATTAAAAACGTATGTGACATTTGGGGAGAATTGCTTGTGAATACTAGTGGGCGCTTGACACTACATGTTGCAACTACCACGTGGAATTATTTTCCGCGAATAAAACGTTTTTACAACTACTGATTGAGACATGAAAAGGTGAAACATTCTTCAAGACGCATGAAAAGAGGCTAACTATAATCACAAGAATGACTTACGTGTTTTTTCTGTAATTTAAAAGTCTGGACTAAGTGAAGTGATTTTTCTTAATTTTATGCCACACGTCTTCGGATTGTATATTAAATTCTCGTAAAGTCTCAGTTGCATTGCTAGAATTCTGAATGTATTGTGTGCGTAAATAAATTGCGCCTTCCATTCGACGATTATCTAAATCGTAAGAACAAAGACGTTTGTACTGGGAGAGATAGCTCAGGGCATCAACTGATGCCACTGCAGTCCCTCTGCCCGGGAGGTCCTACGTTTGAATCCCGACGGTGGCAGGATTTTCGACACTAGCTTGTCGTCTAGGTCGAATTTAGTCGCTGCCTGGAGAATTCTAGCAGCCGGCTGCTCTGATTGGTAGTTTTTCGTGGTTTCCTCCATCAACACCAATCGAATACCGTAGCAGTAACAAACGGACCGCGCGCGATCTTTCCCGCCTCTTCCTTGCCCTAGCCTCTCCCCTTACACACGCTTACACTTACATGCACTACATTTCCGGGAGACCGGAGCATAGAGCTTGTCCCGGCTGGGACGGTGCCCCGCTGTTGGGAGATTCCTGGTGGGGGAAATCTCGCTAGTCGACAGTATGCCAGCGCCGGATCTCACCATCCAGCGGGGAAAGACTATCGCCACCTTCCGAACAAAATCATGAACTGTACTTACGTGACTAACGACCCTAGTAGTTGACGCGCCCGGAATCGCTAACAATCAAACGTTTGTTACTTCGCGAACTCTGTCAGTTGTATTTTTTCGTTTGCACTGGTATTTGAATGCCTTTCTCGTGTTAATTTAAATGAAGCGGTTACTTCATTTGATACAACTTATTATGAAAGAAAGGTGTAATCGATATCGGTACTCTTCACCATTTCTTTCGTGTAAGAACTTTAGTGTCATTAGCAAAGCCCAGCCATTTTCCGCATCAGACTAAAAACTACATAATTTCATTTACATTAGGAGGGAAAAACTCGGCTCAAACTCGGATCTTGCGGGACCCGAGTTCATGGGCATGAACTACGAAAATATTTTTGCAAAGCTCTGTGTGAGAGGAAATCCTTTTGGGGTCAGTCTTCACTGCAGTATAACAAATTTCGTAAAAAGTTGGATTTGAAATATGTACTATAAATTATACGAAATACTTTCTAGTATAAAAATAGACTAAAGTGTAGTGATATATCGATACATGTTTTTATTGCTTTAAAAATACAGCATCTTCAAGAAAAGCAAGAATGGTGGTTCATTGGATTCCAGTATTCAGAATCCGTCCTGTCAATTTGAGAGCGCGCTGATTTTTTAAAATCGTTTCCAGTCTGCTTGATTGTTTCCAGTGTTTTAGAAAAAAAGCTTGTCAAAAGAATCGGTCGATTGTTATGAATATTGCATTTGTCCCGTTTTTCGAATAATAGTTAACTTTTGCATTTATGAACACATTTTTTCAGTAAAAAGTGTTTAGAAAACAGTGGATAACGTATGCTGTGGCCCCGACTCTACCAGTGTGACTGCAATTGCTATCAAGAACACATTGCAAATTTGTACAGGGACGTTCACATATCTGATTATCTTTTAAAGCGTGTCTCATAATTCATGTGGTAGAATTAATTGTATTTGTGATCAGACATTATTTCGTTCAAGGATATCCTAGTCGTATTTGTCGCCAGACTAAAAATTAATGTTATTATAGGACTAATCCATTTCTATCCCGGATGCTTTTATTTTAAAAGTTTATTTTGACCGTAGAGAATGGAATAAAAGTTCCCTCCTGGGTGTGTGCGATCATTCTCGCCGACAGCCGTAGTGGGCGGTTCCCTTCGTTTGCAGGGATCTCCGCGCCGCATTTGAGCCGTTTCGTGTTTCCTTCTCAGTGGGGCTGCGAGCAGTTAGCTGGACGTGCAGACACGCGCATCCTGGACTCTCAGAATCCGTCGTGGAATTCGCTAGGGCAAAGCTCTTTTTTAGTGTAAACGGTGCTGAAAGCACTTGTTGGGGTTCGTTTCCTGCAGCGAAAAGGATAATGCGGCGCATTTGCAATGCAAAAATGAAAGCGAACATTCAAGCGCTGTTGGAACGCACTGGTGCCAGTTTGCCTCGATGCATAAGGATTAGAAAAAATAGTTTTGTATTTAAGTTGTAAGCAGTACACTGGCTTGAACTGTGTGAAAACCAGTGTACTTCAAGTCGGGCGTGAAATTTTAGTCTTTAACATTCACACAATCTAAGCTGTTCAAAACAAATGCTTTCGCAGACTTCGTAACGCATCCGGCTTCAACCAAAACAGTCAAAACCCTATTACACTTAAATCCCTTATATTACAGACTACTTAATTAACCTGTTTTCAAACTTTCACTCATTAGTGTTAAAGTGCGGCTTTTTTTCCACCTCGGTTTGCAAGACAGTATTCTCAATGGAATTAAATCTCGATTCCTCTAAAATATTTTTAAATGTCGTTAATTAATTTTTTTAGCTTTCCAACATTTCATATCACCTCTGCCAATCTAAACATCCTTTCAAAATTTTAATATTAGGCATACTATACAAAACTCTTTTCTCTTCTATGAAACTAACTCATCATGATTGTTCAACATTCGAGTAAGACGCTGGAAATCAACTTACGAAGTTTTCCACGCGTTATCTTAATATCTTATTATCACGACTCTGTAGGATTATAAAGTCAAGCAGGCAGAAATAAAAAAAAAATCTTTGCTTTTGATGGAGGATGCCAGT